TTGGCTGAGCTGTGCCTTGAGACCTTCTCCTACACGGTCTCTGTGCCACGTGATGCCAACCTGCCCTGGACCTGTATCATAAATGCCTCAATTTGTAGGCCTCTCCGAGTGTGATTTCCTAGGGGAACTTGCTCCCCCATTGGTAACACAGGCATTTGCCAAGACATTAATGTGATTTCAACCACTGTCACTTTTTTACTTCTTGCCTTTAGTTAAATAGTTGCTAAAGAAATCTGCTGCCAAGGATAACCAAGAGCACCATAGCACAAGTAGAAGAACAGAAAGTGAAATTTGTGTGGTATGAGCAGAGACTGTGACAAATCTGTGAACGTTTGGTCCAGAGGTGAGAAGAGTGATTGTCATTTGGCCTCATAGGATCTGAGAATATTTTGCTGGATGCGTTAGGTATGTACTTCAGAGTCTCAAGTTTCATTTTAACCAAGAAATTCTATTTGTTGCTCAGTGGTAGAGCACGTGCCTGACATGCATGAGGCCTTGGGTTCCATCGCTAACACTTAAAAAAAAAAAAATCCAGTTCTAAACTCAGGACAGAAAAATGCCCCCAGAGTATGAGGACCCCTTTTCCCTTCCTCACGGGGCCTCTGTATTTTACAGGGTTGAGCACACTGAGATATTTGTGGAAAAGAAGGGAGCAGAGCTGAGCTGGTCCGTGCATGGCCAGAGGAATGAGGGCAGGACTGGGGCAGGCACAGGACATGAACAGGCAACTGAGGCTTGAGGCCTGAAGGTGCCACCCATCCTGTCCACACAGACCGGCCACTGGTGAAGCAACTACACTTGTGGGCAGTGCTCATTTTAGCTTGGTTTAATTTCAGTCAGATAGTAAACACTTACAAACTTCTTACACAACAAAACAAGTACATGCAAAGTTACAAATATAGAAAATATAAAGTACATGCATATTTCAAAGACCAGTTAGTGGTGTTCACTTTGGATTCTTATCCAAAACTATTCAGTGCACACTGTAAGCTGAAGGGCCACGCAAAAGGGTTCTCACATTCTAGGTTTATTTAGTGCCTTATGAAACGGCTAATGCATTAGACACTTCAGATGGTACTGCTCTGAACAAAACTTCTAGGTTTGCCATAGTTGATATACGTGTTTTATATATCTGTTTTACTTAGAATACCCACATAGTGCAAGCCAATGACATTGCAGAATAGTTATAGACATTTGCTGGGTGACGGTACTGAACAATTTAGTGACGAATGGGCCTTATTTCAGTAACAATTTCTTCTTCCACTTGGAATGCAAACTAGTGTTTAGATTGTCTCCTTGTTCTTTGATTTAGAAGTAAATTACAGAAGTTAAGGGCTCCATCTAATTCTGGTTTTTCACAATCTGAGACAGAAACGAAGAACTTTTCGTCTGCACACCAACCACTCCTCCAGGGGACTGTGCTTTGCAGTTGCCGCCTTCCCTGGAGTCACAACTGCCTGGTTCCACCCTAACAAAGTTAAAAGCATTCCAGTTTCCAGTACATGAACAAAGGAGATTTGCTTTCAGTGTTGAGAAGGTAATTTAATTTCTGTGCTGCCGGTTACCTGTAGTTTGTTTCTAAAGAAAGGGTGCCGTGTGCGGATGCTTTCCACATCCCACATGCTGGAGTCCTCAGTCCCAGAAGACTTCAGTCTGTCAGTCGTGCCCACCTGTGAAAGTGTCCTCTGCCTGGAGACCTAGGATTGCACCACGATTTTCCACTTGATGCAGCAACTGCTGTGCAGCCCCTATTGCAAAAGCTCTCTGTGGACACAGGGCACAGGCTCCAGCAGGCTGAGCTTGTGGCCGGAGGGTGAAGGGTTTCTATTGTTTGCTTTTCCGTTTTTTGAATGAGTATCATGTGGCCTTTTTCCAAATTTGGCAGCAGTGCTGTCAGGTTTTCTTAAAAGGGAAGAGAAAAAATGTCCAAACTGCTATGAAATCATTGCTATGCTAGAACATTCGTGTCCTGAGCTCTGGCTGCTTATGAAGCCACAGATGTCCAGGCAAAGGTAACTGACAAACTGTTTTGAGATCCGTTTCGGCCTCAACCTGCTGCACTAGATCAAAAATAAGCCTAGATTAACTGATGATTATTTCTGCTATAGTCTTACTGGCCTGACATTGGCCCACATAGGACTCAAAGGGGCCTTGAATAAATAGCATCTGGGTCTACTTTACATTTTCCAGTGCCCATTGGTGCTGAGGATATTAGCCTACGGGGGACAAAGAGAGAAGCAAGAATGAGATGCCACCACTGAAAGGGCCGCCGGTGGATACCCCTCCCCCAACTGGACCAAGATGAAGACGGCGGTGCAACTACACTTGTGGGCAGTGCTCATTTTAGCTTGGTTTAATTTCAGTCAGATAGTAAACACTTACAAACTTCTTACACAACAAAACAAGTACATGCAAAGTTACAAATATAGAAAATATAAAGTACATGCATATTTCAAAGACCAGTTAGTGGTGTTCACTTTGGATTCTTATACAAAACTATTCAGTGCACACTGTAAGCTGAAGGGCCACGCAAAAGGGTTCTCACATTTTAGGTTTATTTAGTGCCTTATGAAATGGCTAATGCATTAGACACTTCAGATGGTACTGCTCTAAACAGAACTTCTAAGTTTGCCATATTTGATATACGTGTTTTATATATATGTTTTACTTAGAATACCCACATAGTGCAAGCCAATAACATTGCAGAATAGTTATAGATATTTGCTGGGTGACGGTACTGAACAATTTAGTGACGAATGGACCTTATTTCAGTAACAATTTCGTCTTCCACTTGGAATGCAAACTAGTGTTTAGATTGTCTCCTTGTTCTTTGATTTAAAAGTAAATTATAGAAGTTAAGGGCTCCATCTAATTCTGGTTTTTCACAATCTGAGACAGAAACGAAGAACTTTTTGTCTGCACACCAACCACTCCTCCAGGGGACTGTGCTTTGCAGTTGCCGCCTTCCCTGGAGTCAATTTCGTCTTCCACTTGGAATGCAAACTAGTGTTTAGATTGTCTCCTTGTTCTTTGATTTAAAAGTAAATTATAGAAGTTAAGGGCTCCATCTAATTCTGGTTTTTCACAATCTGAGACAGAAACGAAGAACTTTTTGTCTGCACACCAACCACTCCTCCAGGGGACTGTGCTTTGCAGTTGCCGCCTTCCCTGGAGTCACAAACACCCCATGTTTCTAAAGAAAGGGTGCCGTGTGCGGATGCTTTCCACATCCCACATGCTGGAGTCCTCAGTCCCAGAAGACTTCAGTCTGTCAGTCGTGCCCACCTGTGAAAGTGTCCTCTGCCTGGAGACCTAGGATTGCACCACGATTTTCCACTTGATGCAGCAACTGCTGTGCAGCCCCTATTGCAAAAGCTCTCTGTGGACACAGGGCACAGGCTCCAGCAGGCTGAGCTTGTGGCCGGAGGGTGAAGGGTTTCTATTGTTTGCTTTTCCGTTTTTTGAATGAGTATCATGTGGCCTTTTTCCAAATTTGGCAGCAGTGCTGTCAGGTTTTCTTAAAAGGGAAGAGAAAAAATGTCCAAACTGCTATGAAATCATTGCTATGCTAGAACATTCGTGTCCTGAGCTCTGGCTGCTTATGAAGCCACAGATGTCCAGGCAAAGGTAACTGACAAACTGTTTTGAGATCCGTTTCGGCCTCAACCTGCTGCACTAGATCAAAAATAAGCCTAGATTAACTGATGATTATTTCTGCTATAGTCTTACTGGCCTGACATTGGCCCACATAGGACTCAAAGGGGCCTTGAATAAATAGCATCTGGGTCTACTTTACATTTTCCAGTGCCCATTGGTGCTGAGGATATTAGCCTACGGGGGACAAAGAGAGAAGCAAGAATGAGATGCCACCACTGAAAGGGCCGCCGGTGGATACCCCTCCCCCAACTGGACCAAGATGAAGACGGCGGTGCAAATGGGAAGGTCTTCCTCACCCCACTATCAGGAAAATGAGGAAGGAGACGAGGAGGATCACCGGCGGGGAGGAGAAGAGCACCAAGCCGGCTCTCCCGCGGTAGTAGTGGGCCTGCGACTCCTTCTGGTACTGCGTGGTGCACATCTGCTCCAGCACGCGCTCCATTATCTTCACGTCGGTCTCAGTGAAGTTCTCCCCTTTGGTGGTGGTGGTGACTGTGTGCTGCTTGATCGTGATGTTGACGCAATCCTGCACGAAGTTGTTCTGGCTGCTGTACTGATCCACGGGCCTGTAGTACACTTGGTTGGGGTAACGGTACATGTTCTCACGGTAGTAACGGTCCTCATAGTCACTGCTGAAATGGATGAGGGGCCTGCTCATGGCGCTCCCCAGCATGTAGCCACCCAGACCCCCTACCACGGCCCCTGCCGCTGCAGCACCTGCCATATGCTTCATGTTGGTTTTGGGCTTATTGGGTTTATTCCACTGATTGTAGGTGCCACCTCCATGACCCCAGCCTCCGCCATGGGGCTGGCCCCAGCCTCCGCCATGGGGCTGACCCCAGCCTCCGCCATGGGGCTGGCCCCAGTTGCCCCCGCTGTGGGATGGGTAACGGCTGCCCCCACTGTTCCATCCTCCTCCAGGTTTTGGTCGCTTCTTGCAGAGGCCAATGTCACTCCATGTGGCCATAAAGAGAACGAGTAGCCAGCAGCCAGCATTCACCATGATGAATGATCTACAAAAGGAAGAGAGCATCAGAGTCCTGCATTTATGGTGAAACCACTTGACATCTGTTGCTTAATGAATGGCTGAATGCATAGCAATAGCAACAACCCCTTGGTCACGAACTCCTCATGTCTTGGGCCTTTCCTGAACAGCACTTAGGAGAAAAGTGATCAGAAGTAAAAGGCAAGTATAACTCATTTTTTTCTCTGAGGCAAATCTGATCTCAAGTCAGTAACAACTGAGATCTGATCTTATTAAAAAGCCCTTGCACAGAAAAAGTAATCAACAGAGTAAAAGGAACTCACAGAATGGGCAAAAATTTTAGCCAGTTGTTCCTCAAAGGACTAATATCTAGAATATATAAAGAATTTAAAAAAATCTGACTCCCCCCAATTTAAAGACCCAATCCAAAAATGGACATCTGAAATAAACACACACTTCCCAGATGAAGAAGTACAAATGGCAAATAAATATATGAAAAAATGTTCAACATCACTGGTCATTCAAGAGATGCAAATTAAAACAACATTCCATCTCACTTCAGAAAGAAGTCTGTTATCAAGAAATCAACCAATAATAAATAATGATAGGGCTGTGGGAGAAAGGAACTCTTCTCCACTTTGGCGAGAGTGTAGGCTGGTGAAACCACTGTGGAAATTAGTGTGGAGATTCCTCAAAAAACTAGGATTGGAGGCTGCATTTGACCCAGATATTCTCCTTCTGAGTATCTTCCCAAAATCACAATGATATATGCACTCCCATGTTTACAGAAACATGTAATAGCTAAAGCTTGGAAACAACCGAAATGCCCACCAACCAATGAATGGATAAAAAGGATGTGTTTTTTTAATACAATAGTACTACTCAGCCATAAAGAAGGCTAAACTTGAGACATTTCTTAAGTCTTGTACCTGGAGACCATATTCTTTTTTTTTTTTTTGTACCAGGGATCAAACTCAGGATCTTATGCTTGCAAGGCAGGTGGTGGAACCACTGAGCTAAATCCCCGGTCTTGGAGACCGTATTATTAAGTGAAATACGTTGGACACACATGTCTAAATATCACATTGTCACTCCGGTTTGAGAAACTGAAAAATACATAAGGACTAACATATATAACAGACACTGTAAAAGAGAAATTGTTCAAAAGGTAAGGGGAACTATGTTGTTTTTTTTTTTGGTACCGGGGATCGAACTCAGGTCCTTGTGAGGCAGGCGCCAGAACCACTGAGCTAAATCCCCAGCCCAAGTAAGGGGAACTATGAAGGAAGGAGGGGGAAAGGAGGAAGAAAAAAGAAAAAATAAGAAAAGAAGGATAAAATGGAAACAAAGCTTTGTAAATAAGGAGGGGAAGCAGGTTTGAAGGGAGGGAAGGGGAATGGAAAAAAAAAGAGGAATCAAGATATATCCAGTACAAATTCCCTATGATAAATGTGATCATCATGCATATCTAAATTGTCCCAATAAGCTTAATTTTTGTTTTTTTGTTTTTTTGGTGTTTTGAGACAGGGTCTCACTATGTTGTTGAGACTGATCTAGAACTCACTATATAGCCCAGGCTGGTCTTGAACTTGCAGTGATCCTCCTGCCTCAGCCTCCCAAGTGCTGGGATTACAGGCGTGTGTCACCATGCCCGGCCAATAATAAGCTTAATTTTTAAAAAAGTTAATTTCTAGCTCTGTTTCATGGAAATCTGATAAGGTAGAATGCCAAAAACATTGCTCAGCAAAAGCATGACCTCCAACCCGTGAATTGTGTCTGGTCTGGGAGGTATTATTCTTCCTTACCCCCTACCCAGTGTGTTTTCCATTGCTTCGAGCTTCTTAGAATTTCTTTCTTTCTTTTTTCTTTTTTTTGGTACCGGGGATCAAACTTGGGTCCTTGTGCTTGCGAGGCAGGCGGTGGAACCACTGAGCTAAATCCCCGGCCTAAGCTTCTAGAACTGGGCATGTTCTTGTGGGGACCCTGGAAGCGGTACCTTTGGACATCAGGTTCTATAGGGAACTGACCTTCTATACCAAGGGGATCCCTTTACCCACCAATATGGATCTCAATTCCTGAACCGGGGCAGTCACAGGCATGGTTGGTTGTGGAGACAGCCTCTAGCTGGGGGCTGCTGTGTGGATACCAAGTGCGGCCCATGCACATCTGTGAGTCTGTGCCTAGTTAGAAAGCACCCAACTTGGGTGCTGGGGTTTAAATAACTCTGAAAATAGCTGCATCTTCTTTCTTCGGCAGGGATGTTGGCAGGGAGGGAATAAGTCTCCCTTGTTTGTGGCTGTTTGGGGACTTGGGCAGTGCCTGGCACATAGCAGGATACAATAGATATCTGTTAAGTGAAGCAATTAATGTTCTTGAACTGAGAAATGCCAAGAGGGTTTCCTCAAAGGATTTTCAGTACAGTTCTACTAGAAAAAGGGAACACCCAGGATTTTGCAAGTTTACTTGTAAACTCATTATTCTCTGTATAGACGGATGGACAGACCTACTTAGAGTGGGCAACACTTACAGTAAGTGCAGTCACATACTTGCTGACTGAGTTTTAGTTCAGCGTTTGATATTTTATAAGTGATTTCTTTTAGTTTTTGGTATAAGACAAATCTTATATAACAGGGCTAGCACTGTTTAGAAAATGACAAACAAACCAAATATCACAACTTATGGCCCTTTGCAGAATATCCTTCATCAAATTACAAAGCTCCTTTCAGGTTAAACTCATTTAACCTCAGTGCTCAGTTCCAAGGGCAGAGGCCATAATGACATAAACCGTATACTAGGTCAAATTACGTTCCAAAACATCACTGTGTGTCACAAGACCCAGAATGGCACATGTTGCCAAACTGCAGTCAGTCGGTGTCCATCAGTGGGGTTATTATACAATTTTTAAGAATTAGAAAATAAGTTTTTTTTTGTTTTATTTTGTTTTGTTTTTTGAGACAGGGTCTCACTATGTAGTTGAGACTGACCTAGAACTCACTATGTAGTCCAGGCTGGTCTCGAACTCACAGTGATCCTCCTGCCTCCGCCTCCCGAGTGCTGGGATTACAGGTGTGCACCACCACGCCCGGCGAAGATTAGTTTCATATCCTGCTCAGCAAATGACTACATTGCAAAATATCTGTAGGAAGAATTATTAAACAAATAAATAAGTTAACATCCTGTCTGTTTCTATGAACATCACTGAAGTCAGAAGTGCTGTATTGGTGGTCATCAGCAAAAATATATTTGAGAATCACCAGTGAGATTAAAGTACGCAGATCTTATTAGTTAGGGTTTTGAGGGCTCGGGCGGGCAGGTCACATGGGCAGGGCTGGGGATAGGCAAATGGTCCTCACTCCTGCTTCTGCACCCCTCACCTCCGAGTCTCCTGCAGGCCTGCTTCCATGACTTCCCATTTGCTCACGGGACCCAGCTCTCAGCCTATGCTGTTCACACACCCTAGGGCGCCCAACTAGGGGACTGTCCCCTCAGTTAACAGCTCCAGTCCAAAGGGTTTTTATGCCAACCTCAGTGAGCCAACCCAGCCAACACCCTGGAGTTACTCTGGAATACTCTCTCTCACAGCTTGCGCCTGCTCTATCAGCAGATCTTATGAGCTCTATCCTGAGTAAATCCTAAGGCCCTGGGCTTCTCCATTTCCCAACACTGCTGTACGAGCTAAGCCGCATCACTTCTCCCTGAGTCCCTCCACAGCCTCCCTGCTTCTCGCCAGCCCCCACTGGTGTTCTCCATGCAGAGTCCTGGCCACACTGGCTAGGTCACAAGTGACCTGGCTCTGCTGCCTTCCTCTCTCAAGTCTCCAGATCTTCCTCAGACCCAAAAAACATATCACCAGCTGCTGTCCCTTGGGCCTGAAGGCTAATGTTTTCCCAGTTACTCACATGGTCTTTACAGCAGTTTGCCTAAAACAGTGCCCCCACCCTAACACTGTCCTTTGTCTCTTTCCAGATCAGTCATGGCCTCTTGAGTATTTACTGTATGCTTATTATTTTTCTTGATTTGCAAACATGCAAGATAAATACTGAATGGTTAAAAAACTGAAAACATCTATGTTAAGGCATAAAGAATAAGCAAACTAAAAATGAAGTACTTACAATAGATATCTAAAGAGAAACATGTCTATATACAAATATTCTCTGCTGCAAACGCCAGCTAATAGCTTTAAAAAAAAATTATGGTTCTGTGAGTGCCTGGAGACAGCACATAGTGAAGAGGGCCCAGAGGACAGGAGCTGAGCACAGAAGGTGACCGGGCCCTGAACAGCATCTGGAGTGGAGGCAGGCAGGCAGGGAGAGGGCACGGGCAGGTCTGAGGAGTGCTGAGTATGTCATGAGGAGTAGGCAGGGGCCAGGTAAGGGCCTCACAAGAAAGGTGGGCAGGCATCCCGACTGCCCCAGACAGTGTAAGCCTGTTATCCCAACTACTATGAATGCTGAGGTTGGATGTTAGACCATGTGCCAGCCTACTGATAAAGTGTGGGAGGGTCTGGTCTTGAGCTAAAGGCACTGGGGGCTTGGGTTTTTGGGTTCTTTTTCATGACAAGCATTGTGGTAAATGGACTGGGGACCTGTGTGTGTGCATGTGCGTGTGTATAAGGCAGAAGTCATGCAAACTAGTTACTAGGCTGGGGCAGAGAAGGAGGTGAAAGAAGCTGGTGGGGTTGGCCAGGGGAAGGAGAGCCAGGGGGCAGCGTGGCCCACAGAATGCCTCTGGAAGCTCAGGACTTGATGTGGAAGGTGGAGTCTGGAAGAGGCATACTGGCACTCAGGTTTCTGGACTCTTCAACTGTGTAGACACAACACAGAATAGGTTGTAGGCCTGGAGCGAGGCTGATAAGGGGTTTGGTTGGCAATGCTGTCCAACTACATGTGGGACCAGAAATAACAGCAGAATGTGAACTCTGTGGGTCTGGAGTTGAGGAACAACCACAAACCAGAGATCCAGTTCTGGGAATTGTCCCCACAGAGACAATGGCATAGGACAGCAGAGTCACAGACGTGCTGCTGGCCA